GAAACATTGTCCTTGAACTCTGAATAGCTACTAATTGCAGAGGCTTATATGGTCTACCCCCCTGACTGTCCAAATTCTCAGGCCTTCCCTCACTTGCTGAGGGTGGAGACACAGTGAGTCTATGGAGAGCTCATTACTTTTTTTGGATCTTACTGAAAAAACCCCACAGAAATTAAAGGAAAGCATTTTCCCTGTTATTTTAAGGGACAGTGAATATTGTGAGAATTTAAAAAAGCATTCTCATTTCAAGTGCTACGTTTCAGTGTAATTATTACCACAGCATTGGAAAGTATGCACTTGTCCCTCAAGTTTTGATTCTGTCACATTTAGAAATATATTTTAAATAAAGTAAAATTGGTAGAACACAACAAACTACTCTGTCTGTACAATTCTGCATTCTTTTCCCATTAATTATTTGTATCCCTTAGGTAGAGGGTGAACCACATAGAACTGAAAGATCAGCAGGCTGACAAGATGGACTCACATGGTGGAAGGCAGAGAGGCTTCAAGGATTGTGAGGACCTAAACCTCCGAGGCATCTGCTCTGTGGGGCCAAGGAACTGAGGATTTAACTGCATTTAATTTAAATCCTTTTACATTAAAAGAATAATATGTGGTTAGTAGATGCCTATAGGGTCTTGCAGGCTCTTGCAATTCATTTCCATTGCTGAAGGCAAGAAAAGAGAAAGGAGGCAAATAAATGCCACTTTTTTGTTTTTGTTTTTGTTTTTGTCTTGGTACCAGGGATTGAACTCAGGACCTTCTGCTTGCAAGGCAGACGGCAGCACCACGAGCTAAATCCCCAGCACAATAAATTCCACTTTTGCTTGTAGGAGATTTTCAAAATGTGCCACACAACTCTATTGGTTTCATCATATCTGAAAAAAATTAATCACATAGGCACCCTTCATGAGAGGGGAGGCTAGAAACTAATCTTTAAATCTGTGTGGTACTGTGTTTAGTTAAAAATCAGGTTTCTACAAAAGACCTCTGCACTGAAAACTACAGCACTCTGAAAAAAAAGATTACAGAGGATATAAGAATATGAAAAGACATCCCTTGTTCCTCAGTAGAAAGAACCAATGTAGTGAAAATGGCCATACTTCCAAAAGTGCTATACAGATATAATGCAATGCTGATTGAAATCCCAACAATATATTTCACAGATCTAGAGAAAACAATCAAAAAATTCATTTGCAACCAGAAGAGATCTAGAATAGCAAAAGCAATTCTAGGCATCAGAGACATGGCAAGGGGTATCACTGTCCTCAACTTGAAACT